TTTGGAGGGAGAGAAATGCTGACTATGACCCCAAGAACACCATCCCTACAGTCAAGCACAGAGGTGGAAACATTATGCTTTGGGGCTGTTTTTCTGCTAAGCGTACAGGACGACTTCATCGCATTGAGGGGCAAATGGACAGGGCCATGTACTGTAAAATCTTGGACGAGAACCTCCTTCCCTCAGACATAACACTGAAGATGGGTCATGGATGGGTCTTCCAGCATGACAATGACCCAAAACATACCACCAAGGCAACAAAGGAGTGGCTCAAGAAGAAGCACATTAAGGTCATGGAGGGGCCTAGTCAGTCTCCAGAACTCAATCCTATAAAAAATCTGTGGAGGGAGCTGAAACTTCGAGTTGCCAAACGACAGCCAAAAAACCTTAAGGATTTAGAGAGGATCTGTAAAGAGGAGTGGATCAAAATCCCTTCTGAGATGTGTGCAAACCTGGTGACCAACTGCAAAAAAACGACTTACCTCTCGTGATTGCCAACAAGGGTTTCTGCACCAAGTACTAAGTCATGTTTTTCTTGGGGATCAAATACGTATTTCACTCACTGAACAGCAAATCAATTTCTAATCTTTATATAATGTCTTTTCTGGATTTTTTTTGTTGGTATTCTGTCTCTGTACGTTAAAATAAACCTACCATCAAATAAATATTTTCCCCACTATATGGGGAGGAGGCTTTGTGGAGGGAGGGAACGTAACGTATACAGTTTGTAACACACACTCTCGGAGTAAGCTGAATGTCCAAAATCACTATCACCATTACCACTAGAAGTATGTAAATATATTTCATTATGTTCAATGAAGTAATCGCAAGAGTTTGAAATCGACTACAAGGCTGAAAATTGGATTATGTGTGCATAAAACATTACGTTTCCAAGCCATCAGATTATATTTAGCTGTTGTAACTGTGTTCAAGTAGTCGAAGTGGCCTTAAATGAGCAATTGCATATTCCCAGAGGTGCGCATAAGTGGTGCGCATGCGCAACCAATATCAAAAATGCGATCTGTAAATATGTTTGGACCGCTCATTTGCATACTGACATTGTTGACAGCTGTTAATGCACAATCACTGTTTAGATCGACTAATTGTAATACTGTATAATTAATTAATTCATAATAAAGCATATATATATATATATATATATATATATATATAATACATAAATAGTGTTTGTTTATTTATAATAGTTTTATTTTTGTGAATTAAATATGTTTTGAATAGGGACACGAGATAAACGATAAACTTTTGTTTGAATTTTAAACCTGTAGCAGCGTGCAAAAATGTAATGGTCACTTTCCACCGGACGGATGCCAGAGATAAGGCAAGTGCTGTCAATCCTGATTTTATTCATCGATTTTGCTCATGTAAATATAAATGTAGCTCTAGATGTGTACTGTTTTGAGTCTTTAAACGTGATTTTGTAATTAAATTCACTGTTTGGTTAATTTGTCCAAGAACACTGAGGCGAAATTTGAGATAAATAGTTCCTGTTCTGGCCTTGTTAAAACACCTTAAACTGCCAACTACACAGTAATCACTTTCCTATTGTTGAACTTCAACTGTGGTAGAGAGTTTGTCACTTGCTCTTGATCCATGATGCTAACTTGAGCCATATGCTATGGTAATGAATCGTTTAAGTAAACGAATCCTTTCCATTCATTCCAAGGCTGTGAATGACTCACTGTTTTTCGATGAATCATTGAGTCAGTGATGCAGTGAGTTGTTCATATCAAAAGATGCTCATGTGTCATCACCACCTACTGGTTAAATTGTTTAGTTGCTTCTGATGTTTGACTTGGTAAACAGCATTAATTAGTACGTAGATTGTGCAATAATTTGTGCTGATCATCTCTAAACTCTCTGTTTATATTGTGCTATAAAATACAAATACATGTTTGTGATTTTATCATTATCATTACCATCAGTGCATTATGGATTCAGATGTGACATCACAGCCTAAAGATGGTCTAAAATAAAGGATTCAGACTAATAATTGAGCTGATAATTAGTGCTTGCGGGTTAATTCTAGCATGCTTACTGTCCTCCGTGTGTGCTAATGGACCATGTGTGCTTGTGTTTGTTGGTGTTGCTGGACGGTTTCTACGGTCCTCTGTCTGGTAAACACAGTAACAGTCATCAACAATGTCAGCAGCACATCTACTCAAAAAACACAAGCTGAGATTGGACCCTGTTTCTCCATCTGTCCCAGGTACACCATCATCAGTATCAGTATGACAGCACTCAGACTCCAGAGCTGCAGTTATTACAAACATCCTTTGATGAACAGTCGCCTGTACCGAGACCCATGGTACACAGACTTAGACCGCTTCGCTAGTTGGTTAATTAGTTCTCTCAAACATCCTTTAAGTGCTAGTCTGAATGTGTAACTCATGTTGTAAATATATTGTTGCCAAAACAATGCACTACATGCCGTAATTATTATCTGTTCATGTACAAATATGTTAATGTTAGCTTAAAGTACTTATATTTCAATAATTATGACCATTACATCAATAATAATAATAATAATAAAGATTTAAAACTGAAATCAGTCATTTTAAATTCTACATGTTAGGCATCACAACATTATAATTTACAGTGTGAGAAATGAATGTTCATTTTGAGAATTGTTAAAGATTCAATGTAACCATGTTCATCAGTTATTAGTGTTTTTAAATATATTTGAGTAATTGTTAGATGACCACAAAGGTAATCTCATGACCCAGAGCACATTCTGCTTTTACCCTTTAAGATGTGTTTTTTTATTAATGTATTTTTACTTCATGTGGTTAAAATCAAGAATAATTTATGAGAACCAGGTGGGTGCAGTTCAGTATATTTTCACTCTGTCTGGATTGAATCTAGATCACCTGAACTGGTTTTCTTTAATGTTCATTCTGTTCATACACTACATAGAGAGGGATCAGAACATTTTGTCTTTCAGCTGTTGATCTGCATGCAGTATTTGACCAGGACTTCAATGAGACAAGAACACAGACATGCTATTAAGTTTTGTTTTATTCTTACGTGGTAAAATTCATTGTTTACATAAGACAATGGAGCATTAGATCATCTATTGATTACAGTATATGTGATTTTTTTTTTTTAAATGAGATATGTTTTAATTGTTTTAGTAATCTGATTAAATTATGCTTTTCTCTAGCATTATTTAGAAAAACTGAATAAAACAGATCCATGAACAACATTTTCTTCACAGTTTACCACTGAACCATTAACCTTTTTTTTGGCTTGTATGTGGGCGTCTCACATGACACAAATTTGTCAGAAAAGTTAGTTGACTTGAATTTACAGAGTGAAATTTTAGATCTTAAGTTTTCTGTGTGATATCCTTATTTGCTTGTTCATTTTGGGAACAGATAAGATTTCAGATGATTTCTCAGCTGGCAGATGATTGGCTATTTTCATAACAATGGGAATTTCACATATGAACGGGATATTCACAACAATAATTTATCATATCAAAACAAAGTCGCACATTTTATATATATATATATTAAATAACTGTAAGATGACACTTATTACCCTCCTGCCCCTCCTGCTGTCCTGTATTCTTGCCAGAAGACATTATCATCTGAGGCATTGTGTTGGTGCAGGTAGCAGGTAGCAGAACGGACATTGAACCCAACAGCACTGGCAGAAGTGATCAATCAGAAGCTCATCTGGTCTGAACCTACAGTCCAGATTTTTGGGAAACTTGTTATTTTTAACAGAAAAAAAATGTATGTATTCAATTAACAGCTCTTAGCTTTAAAAAAAAACACTTTTCTGCCCCACATTTACATATTCACACTCATATACATTCATAGTCATATATGACATTTTATCATTAATAGCCTTATCTGAAAATGTGGAGCTTTATATTTTTTTGTCACAAAAAAGTGTGTTCTTTAAAAATGATGTTTTGAAGTTCAAATCGTTTTGCAGATGCTTGTATGAGGAATTGGGTCTTGTCGCTCAACCTCTTGTATCCAGAGTATTTGCTGAGATGTTATTCTCTAACTGTGATCTAAGAAGAATCCCAGAATAGATGTTGCAGTCTCATTCTGTATGTATTTCTTCAGATATATTGATCCAAACTTTCAATAGCATCCTGTTTTGAAAATTTTTTCCATTCATCTGGTATCTTACCCCTCCCCTCAAATGTTTTATTGTAGTATTTTTCCAGATCTTTCTTGAATTTGCACACAAACCACTTCCAGTTTGGCAGCTCAGAGAGGTCAGAGGTGATACTCCAGTCTGCATAATCCCCTCCTGCTGTCCTGTATTCTTGCCAGAGGACATTATCATCTGAGGCATTGGGATAAAAAGATCGATTGCTTGCTACCGCTGATGTACAGATGCTAGTAGACAAGTTTCTTGTATTCTTGTAATGCATCCCGTTTAGTCCAATAACACGATGGAAAGGAACACTGTGATCTCCATCATGGTTTTCTATGGTGTTGGTGCAGGTAGCTTTACAGAACGGACATTGAACCCAACAGCACTGACAGAAGTGATCAATCAGAAGCTCATCTGGTCTGAACTTATAGTCCAGATTCTTGGGAAAAGCCTTTGTGTTGAATCTGAGGCTGATCTCAGACATTACATCAGGAAGTGTATCTCTTATCACATCTTGTAGGAGGCTGAAATCATCATCATCATGTTTCACTCCACTGAGGTCTTTTTCAGAGAAGATCAGCTCATCTGAGAGCTGCTGTGTGAAACTCTTCAACCACAAACCAACATTTCCATTGTCCACTTGAACACATTCAGTAGATTCATGTGCTGTTTTCATGATCTTCTGCTGCAGGAGTTTAATGTTCTCCTTCATCTTGGGTAAAACACTGACACTGAACTTATCAGTGATGTACCGACTGACTTCATCTCTGATGAAACTCTTGAAGTGATCTTTATGATTATGAATGTAGTTCATGTATTTGTCAAAATCATTCTCTTCTGCCAGTGTCTTCAGGATGTATTTCTCCAGTTTTGATCTGTTTCCATTCAGTGATTCACAGTTCATTCTGATTTCATCTGCTAAATCTCTAGCAGTCTTCTTGTAGACACTCTGCTCAATTGGCTCTTTAAGTTTCTGACAGATGATCCCACCAAAAATGGTAACTGATGTTGCTTCATGACAGTATTTCTTAAAAATACTATAATACTGTTCTCTCTTCTTCTTAACATATATTGCAGGATCATTGGCATCCCTGAAAAGTCTGTGTAGGTCAGTGATCATCTTGTTTGCTCTCATACAGATGGAAAGAACCAAATCCCTGAAGAATTCATTCTTGAACACATATTTCACTGGTCCTTCCTGATGTTCTGTTACTCTCTTCTTGATGTAATCTGTGATTTGTTGAATGCATCTGATGTCGTAGCCCATCTTTGAAATGTTAAATGACATGATCATTGAGTCTGTATGCTGAGCAATGTCTGTGACTAATGATCTTATTTGCGCTTCATCCTCTCTTGATAGACTATAACCAAACTTCTTAGTTGATCTGTGGATGTTTGTTCGTGATCCTGTAAATCCACTGGATTTCTTTAGCTGTACATAATCTGAATAACTTGGTACAAAAAAAACATCCTTGCTCTCACTTTTATCCATACGTTGGTCCACAGAAACACTTTTATAGATGTCACTGAGAAGGAGTTTTAAATCTCTCATTATGTCAATGTCTTTGATTGGAGGACTCTCTGTGATTATCTTCTTCACACACTGTTTCCAAAACAAATCAAACTCTTTCTTCAATATTTCTGCATCAATTGTTTTGTCTTTGAATTCTAAGGCAAGTTTTTTGCTCTTTTCAATGAGAGTGTTTTCATGGTGTGTCTTCTGAGCATCAATCTTTTTCTTCAGGTCTTCCTGCTGAAGAATCTGATTTAATTTGGTTTCTGTTTCTCTCACAATGTTTTCCTGAAGTTCTTTGATTTTGATTTCAAATGATGTTTTCCATTGAATCAGTATATCAGCATTAGTGTCTTTCTCAAAAAAATCAGACATTGATTTTTTCACTTTTTCACTTGTCTTCTTCATTTCTCTCTGAAGATTAGTTTCCTTAACTTCATGAATTGTTTCATTTTCTATTTGGTTGTGCAGTTTGTTCTCGGTTTCCATCATGGCACTGCGAAGACTCCAGGACCATTTGCTGTATTCGGTCTCCAGTTTCCTGTAGGCTGAAATCTCCAGAGATTTTCTGAAGTTTATGATGAATTGTTCCTTAAGTAAAGCGTCCCAAAGATCTTTAATACGATCTTTTAAGTGTGTCAGCGTCATTCCATGTGATTTTGATGCACAAGTCTCAATAGTTTCCTTTAGTTCTTGAATGTTCTCACAGTAGTTTGGGTTCGGTGTTGCCATTGGTGGGCTGCCCTCCCAGAGCTGAGCAAAATATTTCACATCATTCTGAACATCAAATCTAATGACGTCACTGAAACATTCAGCATCATAGCCTTCATCTTTAGCAGCAAGTTTTGTCATCTCATTCAGTGTCTCCAGCAGCCTTCTCCTTCCCTCCATGTTTTTCTCTCTAGCTGTGACGTCTGAAATTTTCTGATGCACAAACACACAGTTGGGATTCAGTCTGACCTTCTTCATCCTCATGAAAGCCTGAACAACAATCTGAAGAATGTCCTGCATCCCAGATGGGTTTTCTCCAAATATACTAATCAAGGTTTGATTTGCAAGACCAACAACAAATGTGGCCAATTCATTGTCATGATCTCTTGTTGATCTTCCAGACAGATCTAGAGCTCCAAGGCCCTCAGTATCAACAATCAGAATATAGTCAAAGTTCATCTGTGTTTTCATCTCGTCTGACAATCTGACCAGCTGCATGAAAGCTCCTCTGGTGCACCTGCTGGCGCTGACGGCAAACTGGAGTCCAAACATGGCATTCAGCATTGTGGATTTCCCAGAGCTCTGAGTCCCTAAAACTGACAGCACAAAGGCTCTCTGGTCTCCCAGCTTCTGGATGAGTTGATCTAGAACAGCAGAGATCCAGATCACAGGAACATGAGCAGCATCTCCATCCATCAACTCCAGTGGAAATCCAGAGACCATCATCTCTGCTGCAAGACTCGGGAGAGAAGAGAAGTGAACCTGCAGGTCTTTCTTGTTCTTCTTCACAGATGAACATGATTCATAGATCTGACCGATCTCCCTCATGATGTGCTCCAAACCAAAGCCCACAGTTTGGATTTCCTCATATATTCTCTCAAATTCTTCTTGTTCAGTTTTGAGTTGTTCAGGTTTATAATTATTCTCTTTCAGTTTTACAACTGCTGACCACTTTTCATCATACTTCTGATGAAGAACAGAAATATCCATTGAAATATATTCATCCAGGAAGATCTCGAGCCATTTTAGAAAATAGATCTTATTCTCAGCAAGCAAGTGAATTTCTTTAATAAAGAACTGTATAAAAGTACATATGTTAAATGCATGCTGCTGCTCACGCAGTCTCTTGAGGTTGGCTTGTTTTCTGCTTATGTCCATCTCTGTCTCATCTGCTCGAGGTCGATGTAGTTCTTTGTTCTTCTGACACCACTGATGCCACAGTTTCCCCTGATGAGGCAGAAATGATTCTTTGATTTCTCTCAGATCTTTCTTCTCCAGTAAACTCATCATCTGCTGTGCTGCTTCTCTTCCTCTGCTGCTGTCATCATCATCTTCCTCATCTACTCTGATATCTGAGTGTTTGGACACATCTTCAAGTCTGAAAGTGAAAGATGTTTCTGGGAGACAATCATTTATAGCTCTTCTGAGTTCTTCAGATGCATCTGAATGACTTCTTTCCTTGAGACCGATTTCGAATTTTGTTTTATTCATCTCTGTTACAGTAGATTCATCCTCAGTAAGAAGACAAATGAGTGGTTTTTTGTTTGTGTACAGGTTTTGAATCATTTTAATACTTTTGTTCCTGTCAAGTTGTGGTAGAAGAACAACATTGACTGAGGCCATTTCAGTGAGGATCTGCAGCTGTTTTTCATGGTCTCCTGCATCACCATGTAGATTACAGAACGCTACACAGTCAGTGAATGTATCATAATTTGTTCCAGATGGGCAGAACCAGGCGATCTCCACCACTCCATCCATCAGGACTCTGGATGTGCTGCTGCCTGGGCAGTTCCTGTGGAAGAACGTGTTGTGTTTCTCATTTATCAGACTGTTCATCAGCTGAGACTTGGATGAAGACACAGCGCCAAACCTAAAGAAAAACACCATTGGAGTTTCTGCCTTGTAGATCGGCTCGGTGTGACTGATGATTTCATTGTTGGTGTTGTTCATCTTCCAGCTCTTGTTGATTTGTCTGAATGTCCAGAAAGGAAACTCAATCTGTTGAGTGAATGGATCAGGAACAAGCAGAGGCAGAGCGTACTGACACTGGGACAGTTTAGTGACCATCAGCTGTTTCAGAAAACCATCAGCACAATAAAACACGGCCATCTGAACATCCATCGGGTGGCTTCGCTCAGATTGGCCTGTTTCTTCATTAGACGTGGACATTTCTTTCAAATCATCACTGTTGTATTCAGATGATTCACTGTCTCTTTGTTGTGTGTCATGCTGTTCATTGGTATCTTTAACATTAGTGTATTTTGCTCTGTAGTTCATCATCAGTAGTTTTTGTATGAAACTCCAAACCAGCTTCTCCTCAGCACAAGACTTATAGGACTTTAATGAATGAGCAGTTAACTGAAGAACTTCTAGAGTTTTCAGCTTATTTTTGTTCTTGTCGAGATGAAGTCTGTTAAATAGTTGCTCTATTTTTTCTATTTCAGTCTTTTTCTTTTGAAAGTGTTGATCTGGACTGACTCGTGCTGTGTCTATGTCTGTGTTTTCTCTCTGTTTAGTAGACAAAACAATTATACATCTTTAAACAGTGTTTTCCAGTTCTGTTTTCAACAAATCTGTCATTTCATCTGGGCTTTCTTACAATTTGACTGATCAGTGTGTTTAAACCACACAGTACCACTTACTATTCTGACACAATTCATTTTGTAATTTTTCCTATCCACCTTATTTTTCCTGTAAGAACGGGCATAGCCATTTGTCAATTTTATGGCTCTGGCTTGTAGTATCATTCGCTTCTAGCTATTTTTAGCTGTACAAAACAGCTCGTTTTGCTGCTTGATATTGCAAACTGGTGTGTCTTACCATATTATTTAAATGTATTATCTTATTTATGAACACACTGGTTTGTAGTGCATGCAGTTTTACCATTTACTGCACTTTGTTATTCTCCTCGCTATTTCCCTAGAGCGGCTAATGAACCGGAAGTCTCGCACATTCACAGAAAACCGCTTACTTCCGCATTGAAAAATAAGGTGGATTGATGTTTTTAAGGTTTCTTTGAAAACTCACCTGTAGTGAATCATTGGTTTCAGTGCAGATCTTCTCCTTTTTCTCTTGTTCCCAATCCTCTTTCATCTCCAACTGTCTTCTCTTAAGTTTCTCTTCATGCTGTTCTTCAAGTAGTTGCAATTTTTCTTCAAATGTCTTTTGTTGATCTTCTCTCATGTTTCTTTCTTCTTTCAGTCTCTTCTCAAATTCCTCTAGTTGTTCTAGTCTCTCTCGTTCTATTCTTATTTTCTCTCTGATCACTTCCTCCATTTCATTCTTGAGTCTCTGATACTGTTCCTCAGAGATCTGTTTCTCTCTCTCCCACCTCTTCTTATCTTCATCTTCTCTTCTCTTTCTCTCTTTGTCTTGATTCTGTTTTGCTTCCTCTATCATCACGTTATGCTTTGCCCACTTTTCTAAAATCCTGTATGGCAAGGGTTGCGCGTTATTGATCTTGTTCCCTTTCTCTGAGTTGGTTTAGACCCCGGTACCTTGGGCTCCACTCAACTAGTGTATCTCTGTCGACACACTCTGGAAGCATCGCTCCCCTCACCATTGAGGGTTATTGTGAGTATTGTGCTTTCTTTCGAGCGTTAATCCTCTCTGAGGAGTTGGATTCTTGAGAGCTGGATGTTGCTCCCTCAGCCACAGGTTTACTGCTAGCCACTCCAGCATTATAGCCGTAGATTGACTTCTCAAGACATAGTGTTTTGAGGATGCGCTATTTCCATCTATGGGCTGCTCTTTCAGAGTGCCACGAGAACCCCTAGAACGGTATTTCTAAAATCCACATAGCTGGTAAGTGTGCACGTTATGCTTTGCCCACTTTCTAAAATCCACATAAGTGGTAAGTGTGCAGGTTATGCTTTGCCCACTTTTCTAAAATCCTGTACGGTAAGAGCTACGCACAACAGCTTCGTGCTCTTTTTGAGTGCGGGGAGTAAAACCCTGGTTCCGCCTTGGGCACCACTCCTCCTATGTATCCTCTGGATACCTACTTTAACAGGGTGTTGCTACTAGGGGTCTGTTGAGACAGTTCCTTCAGCACATACAAAGAGAAACGTGCGGTAGCCCCTGTGTGACAGGCCAAGACTAGTATGATTCTAGGCTCTTGGTCGTATTCCCTTAAAGGAATCTATTCCTGATTCCAAGCCTTGAGCTCTACCCCAGGCCCAGGAGTCTGGCCCTAACAGGTAAGTATTTTGGGGTATGTAGCCTAGGCCTTTGGCTGTAGGGAATAACGTCACTGACAGCCGTCTAACGTCCCAGGGGCAACTCCCATAGCAATATGGTAGAGTTGGTACTTAGTGCTCGCCATGGCTCTGGCATGCACTCCTCTCAGCATGGTGGCGTGGGTATACCGTTCCCCATAGCGACCCCTAGAGGACGCAGTTCGAAGTTCCCATGAAAGGAAACTTTGCAGTGTCTCGTTCCCTACTCAGGGAACCATGGTTAGTAACCTGTAACCTGAGACGTTTTCTCATCAGATCTTCTCTTTCTCTGTTCATTTGCTCCATCAGGATCTTCATGTTGTTTTCTTGTGTTTCATGTTTAGAATGAAGATCTTCTTTCTCTGTTTCCATTCTCTCTCTTTCTTGTTGTAGTTTCTGATTAAATTCATCCCACATTCTCTGTTCTCTCTCTCTTTGATTCTCATCCTCTTCTTCTCTTCTCATCTTTTCTTCATTTTCTTTCTGTCTGTCCCATTCCTCTCGTTCTTTCTTCATGTTTTCATAGATCTCTCTCTCTTTCTCCTCTTTCTCTTTTATTTGTGTTATATATTATTCTGCCATCTCAATAAATTCTCTGTGATGTGTCTCTTGTTCCTCTTCTCTCCTCTTTCTCTCTTTTTCATGATTCTGTCTGTCAGCCTCTAGCCTATTCATCAGTTTGCCTATTTCTGTGTCATGGTTGATCTGAAGTTTTTATTTTTCTGTTATTATTTTCTCTATTTCTTGCTTCACTTCCTTGATTTCATCCTTGAATTTCTCTTGTTCTCATCTCAACTTGTCTTGTATTTCTCTCTGATGTGCCTCTTGTTCCTCTTCTTTCCTCTTTATCATGGTTTTGTCTTTGTTCCTCCATCATCATCTGCATTCTTTCTTTCTCTTTTTCATGTTTCTTCATCAGTTCTTTTTTTTCTCTTTTCAGATGCTTCACTCTCTCCATGAGGAACTTCATTTTTTTTCTTGTTTTTCTCTTTCCATCTGTCTGAACATCTTACATGAGTAGAAACTCCCACCATTTGCTTTCACCATGGCGTCTTTCTTCTCCAGCAGATCAGAAACCTGTGTTCGGTCTTCAGTCTTATTATTATTGAACACATGGTATCTTTTTCCACATGCTTCAATTAGATTCATCAAAGGAGATCCAGGTTTTCCCAAATACTGTTCAATGGTTTTGTTCTTCAGACCATCTCCTCTGGTGAAGAGCACCATGGTGTAATAATTTTACTTAGTTGTAAGGGAATTAATCGTTATTAATTTATTCAGGTTTATTTCTAGCTCGCGGTGGTATGGCGTGGGCGCTTTGTCGCGCTCACCAAGGTGAAAACCAAAGTTCTTTTGCGTGAGAGTGCGAGCCCGAGCTGAAGACGAAGCCAGAGGGCTTTGTTAAGCATTTTAAACAGGCTGACTTTTGTCCAGCCCACAGGTCGCTGTCCAATCAGATGGTGGCATGGTGGTATGTTGTTTGGAGAGTATTTTTGCAAGTTTTTAAAGAACTTCTTATAAAACTATCATCACCAAAGGAAAATAATGCTGAATATCAATTATTCATTTACACCAATGTTCTGTGAATACAACCAGCTCTCATCCAAACTCAAACAACAGGTATTTTGCATACACATTAATCGTAATTAACTAAAAAGAAAAGTTAGAAAGCAACGATTAAGATATCGTGGTTTCAATAACACATCACACACATTTAAGCCATAAAACATATTATTTGTGAATATAGTTGCTCCAATACTTTCAATGATTTTTTTTATGATTGTCTGTGTACACTCTGTTTCTTTGTCTGTGACAAAAGAAATTAAGGGTTTCGGTCATGCAGGAAGCAGGTGGTTAAACATGGGATAGTCATGTGGCGTCACGCTGTATATCCTGTGCTTGCCTGAGGGCGTCATTTAATCATTTTCCTGTTCTGGAGATAATGGTTCCATCCATTGGTGGGTCCCAAGACATGGGGGCTTCTATAGGTTGTGAATTAACTCTTTCAGTCCTTGATACCAAGAAAGCTTTGTCGTCTCCTGATCGAATTAGTTTCGATCTCATGAGTAGATGAGTTTACCATACTGACAGGAAATCAACCGAGAATATGGGATTCATGTGCTGGGTGATCAGCAAACTTAACTGAATGCTGATATCAGTGTCTGCTCATATTTAAGAAATCCCTACAATGGTGTACATTAAATAATTTTCACCAAATGTCTCTTGGATGATCTTCACTGATTTTGCTTCTTCTGGAGTGAATTGCCCCAGTGGTATCAGTAAGAGAAACACATGTGGTCCAGGAAGTAAGACGGAGATGCAGTTGGTGATTTCTTTCTGGATCTCCTTATTAGTAAGTTCAGTATCAAACAGTCCTGGAGTGTCGATCACAGTAACATGACTGTGTAACGTTTCTTTTTGAGTCTCTTTAGTAATTGACTCATGAGATGTTTCTTCCTAAGATGGTGTTTCCTGTTGCACTCTTCCCAACTCCACTTTTACCCACCAGCACAATCCTTAGATCATCTTGCCTCTCTGTTGTAACTGTAAATTAGGAAATCCGTCAGTCTAAAATCGTGTTTAAACATGATTATTTCATTATTATTATTCCCTCTTCCTGATGCCTGGTTGATTAAAATAAGGAGAGTGACAGTACAGAAAAGAGACTGTTGCCCTTCTACCAAAGTATTTTATTTTATCAAAGGTGGCAGATTTGGTCCAAACTTGGGAGTCAATTGAAACCAGGCATAGGCGCTGATTTATGTTTCTGCTGGTTATTGCCCCACCCGCCATAACACCCTCCATAATATCTTGTGTTCCCTTTCAGTCGGTCACTCAATTACCGACGAATTGGGGCTCTCGCTTAGAGAGACCAATCCACTTTGAGTGTAAACTAAACAAGCCAATGCACATTGGCATGCGATGATTGCATCCAGCTGTTGCTGATCACAGCGTGAGCATAAAAAGGCAGCCGGTGCAACGCATACCAGCTTTTCACTCCGGAGCTGAGCGATAACATCGTTCTACTCCTACCAATATCTTTATTTGTGACGACGAGTTCTAGGGAGCTTTTTGTGTTGGCGGACGGTGCTTCAGCGGTGGTCGTTCCTGTGTCGAGTGGGTTGCGCAATTCAAGCTGCACTACCCCCTGTCGTGCTGCAAGTGGCCATTTCCCCTGTGCGTCTCAGCACCTAAAAGAGCATTTCCCTGAAAGAGCCTATTTCTCTAAAAGAGCTTACACGGGTGCGTCTTTGAAAAGACGACGGATCATATTTTTAAAGATGCCGTTTCATCCGTGCGTTTCTGGATGCAGTCGTTACCTGGCGCTGGGTGATGGTCACTATCACTGCCTCACGTGTCTGGGCATTAAACACGCAGAGGTGGCGTTCGTGGATGAGTCATGATCCTATTGCGGGAAGATGACCATCTCGGAGCTGCAGGCCAGGCTCCGTTACCTCGAGGGGGGCGGAGCTCCGTTGCCTCTGCTGTGATCTAGTGTTCGTCCTGGTGGCAGCAAGGCGAGGGCTACTTCGTGCAGTAGAATGGGCAGTCTGAGGGTTACAGTGGTGGCAAACCCCTCAGGGAACCAACACTTGGGGGACCATGACTCCTCTAGCGCTTCGCAACCAGTTGAGCCGCTAAAGGAGCGTGCTGGGCCCTGGGCGTACCAGCAGTATCCTTCAGTGCTCCTCCCAACAACCGGATGTCGATCACTGCATCAGAGGGAGATCTCTCAGGAGAAGAAGATTCGGCTGTGTTGCTGCCCTCCGGGATGGTGGCAACGCCTGAATCAGATCCGGAGATGTCGGCTATGCTCGAGTGGAAACCTCCACCGCGTCCCGAGCTCTCGAGGTTGGTCGATTGGTTTCTTGGGGTGGCTTGCGCTGCCCAGCGCTCTCAGCGGCCCGCCTCAGTGCCTTTCTTCCCGGAGGTGCATGAGGAGCACACCAGGTCATGGACAGCAACTTTTACTGCCAGAAACAGACCTGCTGGTTCCTCCTCCCTCATCACCCTCGACGGGGGTGCCGCTAGGGGGTATACGGCGATCCCCCCGGTGGAGCGGTTGGTAGCGATGCAGATGTGTCCTAAGACCGCCTCCTCCCGTCGCTCCCCTCCCGGGCCTGTAGGCATTCGTCTGGTCTGACTGGCTGTGCTTATATGGCTTGTGGAGAAGCTGCCTCCGCCTTACACGCTATGGCGTTACTGCAGGTTCATCAGTCCAAGGCACTGAAGGACCTGCACGAGGGTGGTCATGATCTGGAAGTTCTGAAAGAGCTCCGAACCACTACTGACCTCACGCTCCGAGCGACGAAGTTCACCAGGCCTTGGAAAAGCCCTACTCAAGCGCACCCTCTGCCAAACCGTGGAACCAGGTAAGCATTGCGCCGCACACTCAAACCCCTCTTTGGTCCACCCACGAGCCGCCCGAGTTAGGTCCCTGCGTTCCACCTTGCTGCCCCACTGTGGGTATGGTGGTGGTTCCGCTGGTCCCGCTTGCACGGTATCTGGGTGCCTAGCATGCGCTACCCAGCCCATCTTGCTGACTTCTGCAGACCATCAGCCTCGGCTATGCGATTCAGTTTGCCCGGCGTCCCCCCAAATTCAGTGGCATCTGCTTCAAGGCAGTGAAGGCAGCCGATGCTCCTGTCTTGCGTGCCGAGATCACAGTCCTACTGACGAAGGACGCGATAGAGCCGGTCCCTCCAGTCGATATGAAGAGGAGGTTTTACAGCCCCTACTTCATTGTACCCAAGAAAGGCGGTGGGTTACGACTAATCTTGGATCTGAGCATCTTGAACCGGGGCCTTCACTGGTTACCGTTCAAGATGTTGACGCAGAAACACATCTTCGGTGCATATTTCCCCGAGATCGGTTTGCAGAGATCGACCTGAAGGATGCGTCCTTGTGTTGATCCTTCCGCACCACAGACCATTTCTGCGGTTCGCATTCGAAGGGCGTGCATATCAGTACAAGGTCCTGCCCTTCGGGCTGTCCCTGTCTCCCCATGTCTTCACAAAAGTTGCGGAGGGTGCTCTTGTTCCCCTCAGAGAGCAGGGTGTTCGCATCCTCAACTATCCCGACGTTTGGCTTATACTAGCACAGTCTCGGGATCAGTTGTGCAAGCACAGGGACTTGGTGCTGCGGCACCTCAGCCAGTTGGGTCAACTGGGAAAAGTCTCCCCGACACAGAGGATCTCTTTTCTTGGTATGGAGTTGGCTTCGGTTGAACAGACTGCACGCCTCACAGAGGAACGTGCGCGGTCAGTGCTGAACTGAAGGGCAGGACAACGGTCCCACTGAAACAATTTCAGAGACTCCTGGGGCATATGGCAGCTGCAGTGGCAGTTACACCACTGGAGCTGCTTCATATGAGACCGCTTCAGCACTGGCTTCATGGCCGAGTTCCGAGGTGGGCGTGGCAACGTGGCACTCACTGGATCCAAGTTACACCGGCCTGTCGCCAAACCTTCACCCCGTTGTCAGACCTAGCGTTTCTCCGGGAAGGAATGCCCCTAGAACAGGTCTCCAGGCAATCTGTGGTTTACACGGATGCCTCCACCACCGACTGGGGGGCCACGTACAATGGGCACGCAGTGTCGGGGGTGTGGACGAGCCCCCCAACTGCACTGGCATATCAATTGCCTAGAGTTGTTCGATTTGTCTTCTACGAGACACGCTTACGTCTTGAAGTGGAACCTGTTCGTTGAGTGGTGTTCTTCTCACCGAGAAGACTCCCGGAAATGCCCGATCAGAATCGTGCTTTCCTTTTTGCAGCAAGGGTTGGAGCAAAGGCTGTCTCCCTCCACCCTTAAAGTCTATGTCGCTGTGATTGCTGCTAACCATAACACAGTGGAAGGGAAGTCGGAAGGGAAGCATGACCTGGTCATCAGGTTCCTTGGGGGGGGCGAGAAGATTAAATTATCCCCGGCCCCCCTCTATACCCTCTTGGGATTTGTCTCTATTGCTCAAAGCACTACAGCAGGGCCCATTTGAGTCAATCGAGCTAAAGTTTCTTTCAATGGAAACTCTGCTCCTGCTTGCACTGGCCTCCATCAAGAGGGTAGGGGACCTGCACGCATTTTCGGTCAATGATTCGTGCTTTGAGTTTGGGCCGGCTGACTCCCAGGTAATCCTGAGGCCTCGGCCCGGCTATGTGCCCAAGGTTCCTACTACCCCTTTCAGGGATCAGGTAGTGAACCTGCAAGCGCTGCCTCCAGAGGAGGCAGACCTGGCCCTAGCTTTGCTTTGTCCCGTCCGAGCCTTGAGATGGTATGTAGACCATACACAAAGCTTTAGGACCTCAGACCAGCTCTTTGTATGTTATGGAGGCCGGCAGAAGGGGAAGGCCATCTCTAAGTAGAGGATGGCCCACTTGATTGTGGATGCCATCACCCTGGCTTATCAGGCACAGGGTGTGCCCTGCCCGCTCAGGTTGCGAGCTCACTCTACTAGAAGTGTTGCATCCTCCTGGGCGCTGGCTTGTGGCACCTCGTTGACAGATATTTGTAGAGCTGCGGGCTGAGCGACCCCCAACGCGTTCGCTAGATTCTATAACCTTCGTGTGGAGCCAGTATCCTGGAGCTTCTGCAACGTTCCAAGTGGAACGGTACGTTTTCCCAGTGTTATCCAATCTCACTGAGTGGGTAGTGCTACGACAACAGTGACTGGTATTCTTGTTGCGAGCCCCGGCCTACACCAAAAAGGGGCGCAGGAGGCTCGCACAGGGCACTGGAAGGGGCAGCATCCATGGCGCTTTGATAGGGATCCCAATTCGTCGGTCACTGACGTGACGTCAAGAGTGACCAACTGAAAGGGAACGTCTCGGTTACGTATGTAATCCTCATTCCCTGAAAGAGGGAACGGAGATGCCACGTGCCGTCGCCATAGCCGCTGTACCACCGCTGGCTTGGCTCCTCAGCGAAAACCTGGTATGTATTGCACCGGCTGCCTTCTTATGCTCACACTGTGATCAGCGGCAGCTGGATGCAATCATCGCATTGCATTGGCTCATTTAGTTTACACTCGAAGTGGATTGGTCTCTCTAAGCGAGATCCCCAATTCGTCGGTCACCGACGTGAGGTCTACGTTCCCTCCTTCAGGGAATGATGGTTACATACGTAACCTTTTTCCGTACATACCCACGTTTTTCCGTGGGTGCTTAACCATTGGGATCGACGCCCATGCAGACAGGAAGGGCTTCAAGCTATTCATCTAAACAAAAACACTTGATTAGCTGGTTCAGATGTTTTTTAACAAAACTTTGTAGGAATGTAGCTGTCCAGGAGCAGGACTGAGTACCCGTCCTATTGTGTTTGTATAAAAAATACAAAAAAACTAAGGGTCCACTTAAAGTACCTCAAGGTTGTCATTAAATATTTGCCCTTCATTTCTTAAGTGTTCTCTGAAGTTCTGGTTCAGTATGTGTTACAGCAATGTCCCATAGTAAGCATTTCAACATAGAAGAATTAAGAGAACAAAAATGCTCCCTTAAGTCATCTACTGATCTCAAGTAAAATCAAATTGAATGAACAAAATATGATGATTGTGTCAGCGCAGTCGGTCAACATGCAAAGGTTGGAAACTTTTACTGTCTCTGAAGGTAAAAGTTCAAGCTACAGTTCCTGTGGGAATGAGGCATAATGAGCATAAACCACAACAGCAGCTGACCAAAAACATGTTCAGCAACAAAAAAATATATATTCATCATTAAACAGAGTAGCATTTCTATTCTTTTCATTTGTACTGAAAAAAAGTAATTTTCTAATTGTGTTTTAAATTGTAAATGATGAAAGTGTAAATACAGTGTAATTTCTCATGTAAATCTGCAAACTGCAGATACACATACTGTTGTCCTCATTTTATAAAAAAAAATAGGATATAACCATATAAATGCTAATAAGAAAGAAATAGTGAAAATATTTAATGATTCGGTTTATTGACTCAGATGTTTCTATGCAGTATGTTGCACGGTTACTGTCCGGTCGTTGGTCCTATTATTACTCTTTGTCCAGTTTTACTCTATCTTTGTGACAGGACTTCACTGGTGTTTAGGTTTGAGAGTGCCAAGGTTTTTCCTAGCAGCTGTCAGGGTTATAAGATATTTTTCATGGTTTGTGATGGTGGGAAAAGGTTTTCCTCATTTGTGTATAATTAGGGCACACATTATGTGTGCAGTGGGGGCATTTACCTTGTTTAGCTGTTTTATCTGTTTAATGTTTTAGATGTTTTTTTAATAATATTTGTTTTAATAACTTGATTTGGTCTTACTAGGGGTATTATTCAGGGGTTCAGCTGGACATGTTTCGGATTATAAAGTCTGAGAGGGTCTCTCTTCCCTCTTGAAGGGCCTGTGTATCACTATTTGTAAATGGGTATGAAATTTAATGGCTCTTTTTTAACTTAAATTGTTAGTGGGTGCATTCCTAATTTATTTATCTTTTGGAAAGTCATAGAAATGCTATCATAGATTTTTTTCCCATTTTGCTATTGGAGCCAGTGGGGATGCAAAAACGGTATTTGTTGTAGTTTCTGTTGACCACTATAGAAGTTAACCCAACTATGAGGACCTCCCCCTAATATGGAAATGTTAAAAGGGTCAATGTGAAAAGGGCATTCGTGGCCTAATGGTTAGAGAATCGGACTTGTTACCCAAAGTTTGCAGGTTCCATTCTCAGTACTGGGGGGAGTGAATATACAGCGCTCTTTTCCACCCTCAATACCATTGTAGGGATTTGATGAACAGGACACTGATACGCCACTGAATCACCATCATGAGATGACTCCCATCACATCTGCTTCCTGAAACCCCAACGGACCCACGTCCTTATGTTACAACAAAAGAAACAGAACATTGCATGACGATTTTAACAGACAAGCGTTTAAAACTCATAAGTAGTGAAAATGTATCCATGTTATGCCGTGTATATATATATATATATATATATATATATATATATATATATATATATATATATATATATGTGATGTGTTTATTGGAATATGTGATATTTTTAATATTTTCCTTATAACTCTTTTTAGCAGACAAAGCATTTAATATGCGTGTAAGAGATGTGA